CTCACACTTAATAACGTGCGATTGTGTCATTTGTAGCGAAAATTTATGAGAGCAGTAAATTGAAGTACTTTTAAGGAGCATTATCAATCATGTTATCAATGAATGACTGCTCTTACTGAACTTAAGGTTTTCATTATTTAGCGTACACTTACTGTAACTCCACAGAGACCACATCGCCCTAGTGGATATCATTGTGATTCGCAAATCAGATGTTCCTTGAAACCGCTTTGATAAATTATAATTTGATTCAAAAACACTACAACACAAGGGATACGATATATCGTAAGCGGAGGAAAAGTTTCTGTCAGGTGGCAAGCGAAAAAAACCGGCACTGTTGTGAATATTTGAGTAGATCGCCCAATAACTGCATAGAGGCTTTAAGGCTCTGCTTAGGGTTGTTCTTATTGTTCTTATTGCCAATTAATTCGGCTACTACCCTATTTTTTGGATGATGGCCATGGAATTCCATATTCAGTAATTCCTCTTTTATCGAATTGCGGTATTAGTTGAAGGCTAACGAGCCATGGCTTACTGTCTACAACTTTCGCGATAGCTGAAAAGAAGGCGACGCAACCTGTTATTAAAGCTTTTCTCTGCTTTTTTTGAAGAGGGATATTGTGGTCGCCGAACTGCTGCTCACTAGAATTTCGCAAGTTACGCCATTAATGTTTATAAAAGAGTTCTATTCTCCTTTTCCTGATAATTTTGTTCGGTTTTCTCTAAACATGCACAATAAAAAGAGTAAGACCAAGAAAAGACCAATTTCGAAATCCATTCTAGTGACATATGTATCATAGTTTCGTTATAGTGAAGAGTTGGAGAAAACAGCCACATCATTTTTCAGGTTTCCCTTTGATGAGCAGAAATGTTTTTTAAAGGTAAGGATTACCGTTTTAAAAGTAGAATAGATGCATTTTATTAAACTCATAACTGCCTTCGAATTCATTTAGTTTGGATCATGGACATATTCCGATTCACTTTTACGTCTGGAATTACTTGATGAGAATGTTCGTTATGAGGAAGAGGTGAATGAGAGGGGCATCGTAGACAATATAACTATAGCGGAGGATGGAATAGGTTAGCTATAGGTCGTTAACGATTGCAATACTCTGCAAAAAAGGTAATTTTCAGATTTATCCGATTACTATCCTTCTGTGGAATGGGATATAATGTCACGAACGGGTATACGTCGATCGAAATACTATCCAACCTGTTGCAGAGAAAGCCCATATAACGATATCACGGTAAAATAAAATTTTTCAATTTTAACCCCTATTACTAATGAATTTTTTTTTTGCAAGTACTACCTAAATCTCCGTCGTAAACCGCTATTCTACACAGTGAACTTAGTGTTTCCATGCGTCGGCATATCCTTTCTGACGATTGCTGTTTTCTATTTGCCATCATATTCTGGCGAAAAAGTAACATTATGCATTCTTATTCTCGTTGCATTAACAGTGTTCATCCTTCTACTGGTAAGTTTGATTTTTCTGTTCCTCAACTCCTACTTTTTATGTTTTCATAGTAAGATAGCAAACAAGGAACAACCACTATTGCGTAAAACCAAATAACTCAAATTTGAACTTCTGGCAGGACTTTAATTCGACTAAAAATGAGTTTAGATTGATCTTATACCGGCAACGTCTGTTACTTTGCCACT